AGGACTCTTGCTAAAATGCTCAATTCCTACCCAGAAAGGCAAAGAGGCTGACATCAGAAGAAGGAGAAAAGAGCCAACTTTGTTTTTTAAGTATATATTTTCTAATGAATATTTGTAATTTTGTTTACCTTTAAGATATTAAAATGCAAATTGTTTACTGACATAGCCAATAGAATTTCCTATAGATACCCTGAGAAAGACTATTGAGTTTTGGTTTTGTAGTGAAATAAATCTCTTCAGTTACATGGAATATGTAATACAATAAAAATTATTATATGGCAGGTCATATGTCAGTTTGGAAATTCTGTAACAGATTTTTTTACTCTTATATTTACTTCTGGTAGTATGAAAAAAGATAACAAAATATCTTTGACTTTTGAATAAGGGAGGGATTTGAATCAATTGAAAATTAGTCTAAAATGTTGAAGGTTTGGCATGCTGCAAATAACTCATCTACCAATAATTCATCTGAGTAATTAAATTTAGATTGCAAATTTTTCTTTTCAAATATTTTGACTGTTATCTCTCTTCTTTTGTATTGTATCTTAATTGGTGTGGTCTGTATAAATGGACAATAAATTATATATCTTTGTTATAAAGATCAGACAGTGAATAGAACTTGGTATTCATCCCAGACAGAATTATGATTGAATGTATTTGAAAGATTAAAGCACCGAATTTACTTTTTTTCTAATTAAAGGCAATTAAAGATTTGCAGACACAAATAAAAGACAATAAATGGAGGAATAAGTGTAGGAGCAAGTCCATTTGCAGGTGAAAGGATGTGCCTGTGAAGCAGAACCAGCTGTATTTTCATCGCAAGAATAACAGTTTAGGAAGCTTTTCTGCATGTGCTTGTTTGATAGCATAATGTAGTCCTAAGCAGCTTATGCAGTATTCAGAAAAGACAGAGCATTAATGTGTAAAGCAGTGAAAGCAGAGGGAGAGCTGTGCTGCCACATGATGATAGTGAATAGGGCCACGTGAAGTCGAGAGAAAACCAGTAGCTGTGAAAAGATGACCACTTACAAAACAGTAACCAGATATTCACATGATAATGAGCCCGCGCTCCAGCCCCAACACAAATACAGCCTTTTCCTGGCCAAGGGTAAAGAAATGAATAGGGCAGATGCAAAGACAGTTTTTGCTTGTTTTGACTGAACTAGTGAAAATTCCTGCCTAAAGCCATGTAATATTAAAAGCATATACTACTTGAAATATGAAGTAATTGTTTACACATAGAGTTTATATTGATTTAGAACATATATAAATTACTGTATCCTTTTTTAGAAAAAAGTGATATGAGGAATTATCATAGATAACTAGTATAGCATTAAAATGAATAATTTTTACTAAAAATATTTTATGTCTGTTTTCAGTACGTGTGTTGTATTTATTTAGATATTTGTTTCTTTTATGGGAATGTTTTTGTTTTTAAACCTATTTTAATGTTACTAAGTATATGAAATGAATTTTCAATAATAATTTATTTTTTTTATAATTTCATACTATTTGTTTTGATATTTACCCTAAATTCTCTCAGATCCTCACTTTCTACCTAACCAAATTCCAGTCTTCTTCTGTATCCATTATTTCTTCTTCTCTGTACATTGACCAGTAGAGAATATTTATGTTAATTTCCATCTACTGCAAATAGAAGCCTCTCTGATGAGGCTTGATGTATGGATCAACTGATGTATGGGTATAACAATAAGCCATTGAGAATTGTTTTAATTTTATGTCCATTTAGCAGAATAATAGTATTGGCTTTGCCCCGCATACTTATCACTTATTTAACCAGGTTCTTGGCTCCATTAGCAGTGGCAGATATGGTTTCTATTTACTGTAGCTGGTATTAGCTCCTTTCAGAAAGTTACTGGTGACTCCCATAGTATTTATGCCACTGTTGCATCACGGGCAGGTTTTTAAACATAAATAACAAAATTATGTCATTTGTGTAAAAAAGAATGGAGCTGAAGATTATTTTTTTAAACAAAATAAGTATGAATTAGACAAAGATCATGTTTTCTCCTACGTACAGAATCTAGATTAATCGAAGTACACACATAACATACATGTACACACACACACATATATGTACAGTCACATGTTTGTTTGTTTTTAAAGAGTATCATAGGAGCACACAAGATAGCTCAGCGAGAAAGACTGCCTAACAATCTATCATAAGAAAGATTGCCCAACAAGCCTAGCAACTTCAGTTTGATTCCCAGGGATCAACATAGAATAAGAAAACTGAGTCCAGAAAACTATCCTTTGACTACCACCCATGGGCTGTCACAATCAATAAAGAAAGGAAAGCTTTTTAAAGATTATCAGGATTATATTGGAGGAATGAAGTATAAAACACTTGATAAGAAATAGGATTGAGAAGAAAATTATTATAGAATTATTATTGAATATATAGAAATAATGCAGACAGTATGCTAAAATGCTTGTCTTATGTTGAAAAAATTGACAAAGGATCTTTGGAAGGAAGAATTTATTTTTCCTCATGGTTTCAAATGTTGTAGTCTATAGTCTTCTTATTCAAAGCCTATGACAACAGGAGCATGCAGTAGAGGCTCACTCATCTGCTAGCTGACAGAAATCAGACAAAAGACAAGCTCTAGGGACCAAGTCTAACTTTGGAAAGCTTGCCTCCAGTGACCTGCCTTCTCCGGGTATATGCAACTTCTTCGTATTCATCACCTCCCACAATAACACAATCAGCTGAGACCTGAGCCTTCAGTATGATTACTATTCACACTAGAACAGAGCAGATGACTGAAGTGCCAGATAGGCTTTTTCCACAAATATGATAAATATGTTTGTTATATATTTATTTATGCATTATATATGTATATATATATATATATATATATATATATATATATATATATATATATATATATTAGGAAAACTGGTGCTAAAACAGTATTATCATTTTATTGTTTCCTATATACAATTTAAGCAACTGTCTGGGACATACTCTGGACATTTATTTATTGTTACAGGTGCTTGGAGATTGACTCCAGGGCCTTGTGCATGCTGAACACATATGTGCATGTTAAATCACTCTGCCGCATTATCCACCCCTATTGCATTAGTGACAGATTCAAAATCTAATGCAAATTTAAAACTTTACATATAAAAGTCTAGATTATCAGATAGACATTGGAAGAGCATGAAAACATGGAACAAGACAGGAGCCTACCCACAGAGGTCCTCTGAAAGATTCTACCCATTAAGGTATCAAAGCAGATGCTGAGACCTATAGCCAAACTATGGTCAGAGTACAGGGAATCTTATGAAAGAAGGGGGAGATAGAAATACCTGGAGGGGACAGGTTCTCTTACTCCACAAGGTGAGTAAGAGAACCAAAAAATCTGGGCCCAGGGGTGTTTTCTGAGACTGATGTTCCAACCAAAGACCATGCATGGAGATAACTTAGAACCCCTGCACAGACGTTGCCCATGGCAGCTCAGTGTCCAAGTGGGTTCCCTAGTAAAGGTAAGAGTGTCCGGTCTGTGAAATGAACTCTGTGGCTGGCTCTTTGATCACCTTCCTCTGAGTGGGGAGCAGCCTTTCCAGGCCACAGAGGAAGACAATGCCAATAGTCCTGATGAGACCTGATAGGCTAGGGTCAGATGGAAGCATCATTAAACTTCATCAACAAATATTCCTTATTAAATTTCTACTGTAAGATGACAGTTACTTGCTGCAGCAGTGTGAAACCACACAGTGTTGCTTTAAGAGCCAACACACAGCTCTGTAGCCAGAGAAACGCTTGTACTTGGGTAATGAACTCCACTGTGGCACTTCTCCGTCATTACTGCCCATTTACCTCACTTCCCTGCCACTTCTACTTCTAAAAATCTATATGGAAGTTTAAAGGTACTTTTGAATCATTAGCAGACACATTAAGAAGCAGATTTATTTCACATTAAATTTTTATGATATACTTTAGTTTAGATCAAATGCTTTCAGATTTATTTCAGTGTGAGGAAGATGTGGAAATTGAAAGTGAGACATTGTATCATTTAGATAAGGGAAATGTGTGGATAAGCTCTGGAAACTGACTTCGGAGAGGACAGGGATGAGGCGAGAATAAGAAGGTAGAGTGAAGATGTGACATACTCTGTATTGTTACGTTACCTTTTGCTCAGAATAATGGGTTATAGTTTTGTAGTTAGGACCACTCCCACTTCTTTCCTTTAAGAGTATTTTTTAAAACATGTATTTCTTTTCTTGACAACCCTTTTGTTGTGAAATCTACTTTTTTTTTTTTTTTTTTGAGACTGAGCAATGCTTCTTATGTAGCTTGTCAGTGGGGTCACCAGATGGTATCCCAAAAACCAAAAATTTTATGACACTAACTCAATGTTGCTTGTTTCTTGGCTGTGAAATGTGGTAAAGAAGATTGAGTGTCATATCTAAATGTCAGTATTCTCTGCATTACTTAGTCATGTCTGTTCTGTCCTCTGGTGAAAGGAATGAAAGTTATTTTGTTTTAATGAATTTAGGGAACTGAAAGTCAATTGTTTATAGATTCCTCTTTTAGTCTCAGAGAAAAACGAAGAAATATTTATTAATTTAATGTAGCCACAGTATGTTAAATTTGTCAGAAGATATTTTTTAATTGCTAAATCAAAGTTAGCTTTACAAAATATGATAGTATAATTGCATATATTAATTTATTAGTGGCTCTATTTCAAAAGATACACTTACTATGAATATCTTATTCTCTAAAAAAAAGAAGGTATTATTTTGTTTTGACATTCTTTGCACATGAAATTAAGATTTCTGTCAGAATCTTCTTCCAAAAAGAGTTAAAAAGACATATTGATTTGAAGTGATGTTTATGCTAATCTCAACTGGGAATGGCCACGTAGTTCTGTCTATGTTTTACTTTATGTGTACATTTTTGACATTTCATAGATGACTGTGAATTTTGAATTATATATAAATATAACTCATTTTCTGAAACTGTTTCTTTCTAGGTAAACAGGATTATAAAAAAACCAAACCTATTTTAAGAGCAACCAAATTAAAGGCAGAAGCAAAGAAAACAGCAATAGGCATAAAGGTATACTTCAATTTGATAAATTATAATTTGCTGTGTGTATGCCAGTTCATTTTACACAACTGAATCATATTAGTATTGAATTCTGAACATCTTAATCTGGATAGATATCAATAAAAGAACAAAAGTGAAGGTTTTTGTAAATTATTTATTGGAAAACATGCTTACTATCTTGAAAATTTGAGGACTCTTAAAAAGAATATATAATTAAAGTATGTAGTATATATAGGACATAGAAAATGTTATTCCTAAGGTTATTGCTCTAGCTGTTATAACTATTACTCAAACATTTCAGTCATTTATGTGGGATTAGTTAGATTCTTGGACTTTCAGTAAATTTCACTACCTAGTTGTTTACATTATTATTGTAAAATTACTGTCTTTTTATTGTCTCTAGTACTCTGTGTAATGAAATGCTAATGACATTTTCAAACTTGTCCTTTTGGCTAACCACTGTTTATCTGCTTATATGAGATAAGTGCAACTGAGAACGATGTCAACAGATTATTCGTTCACTGTGCTAGCACACTAATAAAAAACAAAATGATTTCATCACTGTTCTCATTAAATGTTTACCAAGAATTGAGAATGAAGTAAACGAGCTAGAAAAATCCTTTTGGAACATATAGTACCAAATGTGTAAAGTAAAAATGACCAATACAAATATTTTGTTTAAATATTAAATTGTTAAAAGAAGATTTGGGTTTTCATCTGGCAGATAAAAAAATCAATTTTTCTAAGTTATAGCTTATAACAAATGCCAAGGTATTACCAGCAAGCTGTAACAGCTGTTCAACTGCCAGATGATATATTTGGTTATCTTCCAGAACTTGCTATTATGATCATGAAACACTGCCTTCCTTTTGCTTCTGATTGCTGATAAGCTCTACTGTGTGATGTGCTGTTTTCACAACACAGTCTTCTCAGTTGGTGTTGTGTGGTAGGGTTAATGTAAAAAAAATTTTTTTTTTATAAAAGAGGTATTTGTTTTTCCTTTTTTCAAATACACATGAAATTGCATTTGTGTGTAAACGACCTTCTATTGTACGAGCTTTTAAAATGCCATGCTTAACATTTATTTTCTGTTTTGTCTCATGGTGATTGACTCTTAGAGTAGGAACAATTTCAACATTGTCCCCCAAGGAAACAGTTAGTATTTGGTTTTATGTTTCATAACATACTAGATTTTTTTAAGGAAATATCAGTGTAACAAAATATATTGCTACCATAGTTTAATGATTAGTTGTATATTAAGATTTGTGAAATAATGCAGCCATTTATATATTTATACACTACATTTTTATGCACACCCCTTATTTAATTTGCTGTTACACTTTTGTTTTGGTTTGCTTAGAGGAAATACCTGTGCTCGGATTATGTTAAAGTCTAATGCACAATGCTGTTAGCTAATATCTGCTTTAAAAACTATGATGAATTACTTTTTCTTAGCTTTGTTTGTCCATACATAAACTATGTACTGAAAAGTATCTAGTATAGATCTACTTTAATAACCTAACCTATCATTCTGAGTGGTAAGCCTGGAGACTCAGACTTTAACCATTATTTTCTTCGCATATAAATGTGTGTGCAGAGGCCATTACTGTATGAAACTTTAAAAATCAGAGCCATGAAGTTGTCGTGTGTTTCGGACCTAGAATGCTAATTAGCCTGTCCTGTCAGACTTTGACTGCCTTGTCATTTTGGCATAGGATTTTAAATAACAGAGTTTCTTTCAGCAATTGTCTTTTAATGCTTTTTAATTTCCCTAGTGAGTGATTTTATCCATATTGATAATGTCAGAGAAGCAACTGAGGACTAATGAACACCAAGTATGCTCGACTCTTCTCTAGTTGATACAGGGTGACCATAATGTCATATTATGTCACTACTGCTTAGAGTGAGTCATAGTTAGATTCTTCAAATAACATAAATTAATAGAAAATGGGAACAGGCACACAGATGAGAAAAAACAACAGTGACATCAAAATGGAGCTTGCATCGAAAGGCCTGAGCTCAATTCCCTTTTGGCTCTCACTGTTAGCATGAGGGATCTGAGTAAATCTACGGATCTCTATTTGTATTTGGAAATTGTGTCTTTCACCTCAGAGGTGTCAGCAGAAAAGGAACATGAAGGATATAGCATTGAACTTAACACATCAAGTGCACCTGTGACTATTAAGTAGGTAGGGAAAACCCAAAATTAGCTGTGTCCAGTCTGTGTAAATAGGATTTTCTGTGAATATTTGTCAGGGCTATCCTTACTTCAACTGTCCTTGTATCTTGTAGCCATTATGGTACAAAGTGCTCTTGAATTTGCTGTGGCGTTAGTATTCTGGATATTTGTGAAATTCTTGAAGCCATAACAAACGTTTAATATGCTAACTATCAAAGCATATAGGTATAACTTGATGCAGTATGTTTTAGAGATCACTGTAGCTATTACAAGCACAGTGAGCTTTGAGATGGGAAGCATTGGAAAGTAGGGCATTTACCCTGCAAGCCTTCTGGTGTCTTGCTGTAAATGTACAACTAAGTGATAGAAAATGTTTTGGAGGAATTATGGTTTCAGCTTAATATGTGAATATATCATCTTAAGTAGAATGAATTTCTAATTTAGAAGCCACTCTTATTTCTTATGTTTTCTAAGTATGAATCAGAATTATAATTTAAGACATAAAAAGGTTGTGAGTGGCACTGACAGGTATTTCCTCATCTAGCTTTTATATTTGTTGCTTTTCAAATAGAATATTAATTTTCCATAATTAAAATTTGTTATTAATTTTCTTTTATAAACATAAAGATTTATACACTATATTCTGATTATGGTTTCCCTCCCTCAATTACTCTGAGATCCTCCCCCTTTCCTCTCTCACCTAAATCTACATCCTTTCACTAGAAACCAAACGGGCATCTAAAGAATAATAATAAAATAAAATAATGCAAAACCAAACAAACTGGAACAGGACAAAACAAACAAGCAGAAGGAAAAGAGCCAAGAATAAAGCACAAGAAACACATATAGACAGACACACATTTGTATATTTTCACCATTCTTATAGAATGCCAGTGCCTGTGTTTCCCAACTTGTAAAAGGAAACAAATCTTCATTTGCTCATTTTAAAGGTTTATTAGAAAAACATAGTCATCACAAAGGAATAAGGAGAGAACATTTAGCTTCTTTGCATAAATAAAATATTCAGTTTCACACAGATCCAGCCAGCACCCCTTTGGGATGAGCAGCTTGAAACATTGTTTGTTCTTTTTGGTTTAAATCTGAACAGTGGCCAAATCTTGGAAAGGAAGTCATGCCTACAGGTGTCTAAGGTTCCGGTCACAGCCTTCCACATCCTGCAAGGCATGAAACTCACTCTCCATAGTGTTTGCCTCAACCGAAGTGCCTTTTGAAGAAAACTGTTTATGACGTCACCCACAATGCTTTTTAAGTCATCTGCTCTGCATGTTATATACTGACTAGACAACACTGAAGTATCGGATGCTCTATGCATAAGCTAAAATACACTACCGCTTTTCAATTTTGTATCATACCCCTTACCTGGTATTGTTTCAGGGAAAAGCAATTCATTTACATTTGTATGAATATATTTAACATTTCATATGAATGTATGATATTTGATCCTAGCAAATATTTGTTCTTGGTACTTTCTCCTTTAAACATTCTTCTTAATATCTCTGAATACTGTGAACTCATTTAGTAAAGGAACGGTCACTGTCTTCAGGACAGTGAATGGGAAAGAAGCGCTTGAGGTTGATTGCCAGTAAGATGAGAAGTGGGGCCTTGACTGGAGAGTAAATACTTCACTCTTTCGCTGAGCTGACATAAGTGATGGCTACTGTTGATGGCTGTGCTGCGCATTCTACACAGCAGCTGAGCTGGTGGTTGTCTCACTTGTTTATTATACCCTCTTAAAATTAGTAGCCATTTAACCAGATGGGCCAGGGAGCACAGCTGTGGATATGAGAAAATAAATGAAACCTGTCTGATGCTGCCATGCCCTTTTGAGATGCCGAAGTGTCTTAGCTATAACAAAGAAAATTTCACTTTCACTTTACATTGCACTGGTATATATTTTATTTTTATGTATTATTATCATTAATTACAATTTATTCAGTTTTTATCCTGGCTGTGTGACATATTTTAAAAATAAAGTCCTACAGAAAATTTGTTGACACAGGTTTCTACCCTTACTTTCTATTAATGTTGATTTTCATAGTTTGGATATTTAAATGAATGTAACCAAGGAACTGAAAATCTATACATAATGTCTGTTTGTGTTTTCAACATTCACCTGAAAATTCATTATACAGCAAATTCATTTTAATGTTTTTTTTTAAGTTTATTAGGTCGCACATATTGAATTATTCATTTTACATTCATACAAACTGTAAAGTAAATTCGTATAAATGTAAATGAATTGCTACCCATGAAACAATGCCAGGTAAGGGCTGTGATACAAAAGTGAAAATCACTATGGTATTTGATAGCCATTTGGATCATGAACTGGACTCAGTTTTTTTTTCTGTGCAGTAAAATAACACGTTAATATTGAGAAAGTTACTTAACAGAACACACACTGATATTTTTGAAGGAAAATGTAGTTTTATTGTATATTAAATTTAATATTATTTAATACAAATGATTAATATAATCTTCATCAAAATGCCAAAGGTAGTATAGTAAGTTAAAGAGTTTAGCGTTCTAAAAAGTAGAATGTGTAATCAGGTACGCTGACACAAACCTGCAATCCCAGAACCCCACTGGAGTCTAAAGTGGGGAGAGCAGGATCCAGAGGCCTAGCCATTTAACAAGTTAGAGGCCAACTTGTCTCAGATAGTAATAATACTACTAGTAGAGGAGTTCGGATGGGAGAAAACAGAAAACAGAAACAAAGCTTAATAACAATTAGTAAAATAGAAGAAAAAGCCATGAATTTGAAGAAGAGCAGGGAGGGGTATTTGGAAGGATGGAAGTAGGAAAGTGAAGAGAGACATCTTAAAATTCTAATGTAATCTCAAAAAAATTAGTGTGAGTTGTTATGTTTGTATAGAATCTGTTTTTTGGAATCAGTTACCATGGACATTTCTTATCATAGAAAACAGAATGATAATTTTTAAAATATATTCTGGTAAATTCCAAAACTGTTAAATAATATAATTCTTTAAAAAACAGTTACATGTACACAAAGAGACCAAATAGAATATATAAACACAAATTACATTGACTGCACATAAAATTTTGATAACAAAATAAAAATATATATTAAAGCAATACATTTAAATTTACATTTTAATTTTAACACCAGAAAAATCTTAATAGAAATTTCTCACAACTTGTGTATTTGCTGTTGTGCTACATATTGTTTATTAAAAATATATTACTCATTAATAATTATTGCGTTGACATTATTTGTCCTACATAGTGTTTTTGTATCTGGTGAAGCAAGCCTGTCTTCATAAGCTCAAACCTCCCGTTTTCTCTTTTTCAGGAGGTTGCCCTGGTGCTTGCAGCTCTCCTGGCCCTCCTCCTCGCCTTCTATGCTTTCTTTTATCTACGACTATCCACGAACATTGACTCTTATCTGGACCCAAATGAAGATTAGCTGAGCAGTAATCAACAAAGGAAGAGAAAGAATTCTGATGAGAACATCTTTAGGGACAAAACTTTGCCAATTTCCAAAACTAGAACATGTTGAATATTTTCTTCTTGGTACAGTCAGTTTGCAGCAATATCTTTGTGTCTAGTGGCATAGGGTATCAGAAAAAGACCTTCCCCAAAAATCTAGACTCATGTATGCTGCTTGATACTGGATAAATCTTCCTGCTCTGGCACATACCCCATTCGTGGCACAGTTACTAACACATTTTTCACAAGTCTTCCCAATTGACATGGATAACTCCATCGGTTACAAATCACTAAACCTATTTTATCCTAAGTATATTATGAGAAGAACTATATATCGTCATTTGCAGAAGAATACTCAAAATCAGAACTAGAACCGAGAAAGAACAGAAAAGTCATGGGAAATTTTCATTTTCCCGAGAGGTGTGCTTCTGTTCCAGACATATTGCATGTCATTAGGGAGACTGCACATACACCGCAGTAGTCTTTTCCTTCCCTGCCAACTGTCACTGCTCATGTGCTGCTTCACAGACAGCACCTGGATGGCAGAAGCTCAAAGAGTCACATATGTCCCTAAAGTAGAGTTCCTTCTCTCTTGGGCTGCCCAAACTGGTGTAAGTAGAAAGTTCAGTTGATCTTGGCTTTAATTAACTTATTACTCCATTAATAGAAAGTTGGAATCCTATATTAATTATGTTGTTCTGCTTGCCTGCAGTACCAACTTGCCCCTCTTGTTAGGGAGCTGGGTAACAATCTGCTTCTTCTTTTTTTTTTTTTTTTTTTTTTTTTTTACTAAATATTTTATTTATATAGTGTGGGACTGATTTTTTTTCTTATTCTTTTTTTTTTTATTAATTACACTTTATTCATTTTGTATCCCCCCATAAGCCCCTCCCTCCTCCCCTCCCGATCCCACCCTCCCTCCCCTTTCTGCATGCATGCCACTCCCCAAGTCCACTGATAGGGGAGGTTCTCCTCTTCTTTCTGATCTTAGTCTATCAGTTCTCATCAAAAGTGGCTGCATTGTCCTCTACTGTGGCATGGTAAGGCTGCTCCCCCCTCAGGGGTAAGTGATCAACAAGCAGGCCAATCAGATTATGTCAGAGGCAGTCCCTCTTCCCATTACTATGTAACCCACTTGGACACTGAACTGCCATGGGCTACACCTGTGCAGGGGTTCCAGGTCATCTCCACGAATAGTCCTTGGTTGGGGTATGGGTCTCTGGGAAGTTCCCTGTGCTCAAATTATCTTGTTCTGTTGCTCTCCTTGTGGAGTTCCCGTCCCCTCCAGCTCTTACTATTTTCCACTTCTTACATAGAATTCCATTCACTCTGCCCATCAGTTGGCCATCAGGCTCAGCATCTGCTTTGACGGTCTATACTGCAGAAGCTTTCAGAGGCCCTCTGTGGCAGGTTTCAAGGTTGTTTCCTGTTTTCTTCTGGCTTTCAGAGGCCCTTTGTAGCAGGTTCCGAGGAACAATCTACTTCTTAATTGTGAAGTGTTTTTACCCTGCAGAATTAGCAGGAGTGTTCGTACACAGAATGATTTTATTGGGTTGTCTCTTGAATCTGAGCATTACAAAGGCTTTTTAAAATTACAGTTTGTTTCTTTAATTAATTACTACTCTGTAGAGAAAAATAAAAATAGAAAATATGTCACCTGTTACTTTTATATGTACCTTTCTGTAATTTTTTTCTATGTCTTTATGTTGTAGTGTAATGACTATTCAATATTTTATTGGCAATTGGAATTTTAACAAAATAGTAGAGTACATGAACACATAAAGCTTAAAAGTTTTATATATATATATATATATATATATATATATATATATATATATATATTTCCAAAGAATAGCTCCTATGTAATATAAAGATGCATAGAAAATTGCTATTTCAAGATATGTACGGAGTTTTAGGGTGTACATTCACTTCATGAAAAATAAATACAATTCTTAGGTCATTTCCACAGTAGCCAAGAGAGAGACGCTCTAATAAAGACTCTAGGAGTAGATCTCGTATAGCTTATAGCATGGTTTCTATAAGAACAGATATTTTTTGGTACTTCTGCAAAAAAAATTTCAGGATGTCAGTGTAGCATTTGTTCTGTAGAATTTTTTTAAGTAGCATAATTTATATCATCAGTGTGAAACAGCCAAAGGTTCCAATAGCCTCACAGATTATTTATGCCAAACATCTAAGGGCAAAATTTAGCCAGTGTTGTTGCTGGATTCTTCCTTTTGAACTCACAGTCTCAAGAGACAGAGCAAGAGTTCTCGTATACTCACCACAGAGGACCCATCCAAGTGGCATTTTTAGGAAAGGTTGCAGCATTTTATGCCATGTGGTATGTCTGTTCGCGAAGTGGGAGGCAAGGGAATATCCAAGCTGGCATTTTGGATTTGATGGGCCTTTTACTTTCATGAGTGACATGCCACATGTCAAGAAATACTGCTTTCTTCCAGTCTCATCACATTTACGTGAGCAATTCTCATTTACTTATTTCCCTCCCATATGGTGTTAAAAAACAGTCACATCCAATAAAGCTTATTTCTGGTTTCAGTGGTAGCTGAAGTGAGAGGATATGTAATAACTGTTTACCAGATACCTATCCAGGTTAGACGGTAGCACCGTTCTCAGTATTCAAAATACGTGTGTGCCTTCTGGAAATGTTTGACAAGTGGCTGAAAGAAAGACTTCACCATCCTGTTCTCCTCATGAGAAGCACTTTGGGGAGAAAATGTTGTTTCTATAATTAAAAAGTATTAGTTGAACTGTACCATAATAATAAGCAAGTTTCACTAGCTGGCTTTATCCATGTCCTCGGTCCATTTGGGTAGCTGGCTGATTTGTGACATTCCCAGAGGGGGGAAAAAAAGAACAACAAAACATCCAGGCTAAATGCTTTGATTTCAGTAAATAGCAGTAAAGTGAGACAATGATATTTTTAGATAATACTGTTTTCATAAATACAAATCTCAAGAACACAGATTACCTGGAAACAGCCATCCTCCTGAACACAAACACCAGGCTGAAAGTCTCCTTTGAATGTCTTAAGACAGAAAGAGGGTGGTAACTCCATGTTGTTTCAGGAGACCACATTTTTGTTAGCGGGTAGCTTTTGTTTTAAGTTTGGGATTAGAATCAGGTATATTTAGACATAGCTATTTCCACATGGCACTCTGTTCACAGTGATGGAGACAAAAATTAGACTTTTAAATGACTTTTAAATAACACTGGAACCTCTTAACATGCAAGGTAGTATAAATTTCCAGGTAAGGGCAGAGAGCTGTGTTTGTGTATGAATAAGGTACAAAGGTTATGATCGCACATGCAAGCTTAGATAAAATCATTTAAATTTATTTGAGGAGAAATAATGTAAAAATATAACATCATCTAATATTTCTTTCTAAACAAACAAAAACCCATTTTGGTGCAAATTCAGCTGGTCATTTTGCAGTGTAAAATATATGGTTTCTCTTTCGATTTCTTCATAAAAACTGATGGCATACTCTAACACCAACTAATGATTATGACATCCTGAGAATTTGGATCTTCTTATTTGTGCCATTCCAGTGTGTGGTCATCTGCCCATGAATTTAAATGCATGGAAGAATGTGGTTTAATGTATGTTAGTTGCCTCAGAGTGATTTTTCATATATAAATGCTAAAAATTGTTTGAATTTAATAAATAAATCTAAACACAATATTAATCAACACAGAATTTAGCATTTATGGTTGCCTGGTACATTGGAAGAATATATATGTATAAACTACACATATATGTCCTTAATTTCTTATAGATCTGGTAAATCAATGCATCTTTATTTAAAAAAATTAGTATTTCACTTCAATTAACCATACATATTTACTTCAAAAGAAAATGAAATTAAATTTTATTATGTTTACATGAATACTAAAGCACCAAATTTTCTAGACTCTAAAAGTATATAGTCAGTAATAATTCATTGGAGTTAATTGTGCATTAGATAAGCTTCAGAAATAAACGCTTAGAAATTAAACATGTTTCTATTTTAATGTACTACATCTGTAACAAACTTCCGAGCCAGAGACTACCAATGCTCCTCCTTTCTCTAGCAATGGTGAGACTTCTTGACACTTATCTGAGCTTTCCCTGGGTGGGGAGGAGCCTCCTCCCTCTCACCTAGCAGCAACCCCTTTTCTTTATTAGCACTGTCCCAGTACAGCTTGGATAGAAAGGCTAGTTAGGTGGTGTTGTACTGACATGGTATGAAGGATCGCCAGAACCTCCAGTAAAAACAAACCTGTGGCACATGAATCCAGTAATTACAGACACATTGTCACCATTTTCATCAGGCGTAATTGCATAGGGAAGGGCAAAGGATAGTTGCAGAGACGTCGGAAAACATGAACCACTGTGGACCAGCCATAGTGGATCTGAGAACCATTCAAAACAATCGAACTGCAGCCCCCTTCTGCATAGTAATGCCTTGTTACACAATTTTTGTATCCTTAGCAACTGATACGGGATGCTTTTTCAAGGAAAAAATAAGTTACTTTACATGCCAGAAGATTTTTGATGACAGTACCCCCTCCGATTTTTTCGTTTTTTAAAACAACAACCAAATTGGTGGGGAGGCAGCCAAATTTTGAGGTACCAGTGTTTCTCGAACAGATGTCGCACCATTATTTTTCAGCTCGTTTGGATGAATAAACATGTGAAGCTGTGAAGTATTACATTTTAGATTTTTTCATTAAAAAAAGAGACAATCTGTTTACTGTCCTAATTGAGACAACAATCCTCATGGTTGCCAGTTTTGGCAGTCATAACAATGAACTATAAATATTTGGACCAATCAAGTAAATGGTGAGTATAAAGGCTATAGCATGTAAAGTTCTGTTTTCATGGGCACCCATCTTTGTATGACTTTTTTTTTTAACTTCATCGAATAAAATTGTTTTTGTGGAGCTAAAGTTTCATGGTAAAACTAAAAGAGGTGGATTCTGAAATCTAGTTTCTTCCTAGGTGGTAACCCTTTCAATGGAAGCTGCCCATCTCTGCTAACAGCACGCATCTGCACTTGCTTTGCCAGAGGAGAGCAGGTTCACTGTGGTCTCTCCTGTGGGATGTGCCTGATGCTAACACAAGACTCAAAAGTGCTGTTTGTTTTTAACTTTTCTCATATTTATAAAATTACATCTTACCCCGGGTCTTCTTTCTTGGTTATCTTTAGGTGTACAGATTTCAGTATGTTTATCCTATCTTATAG